AGCTTGGTTATTACGATGACTTGGCCAACTGATTGAGCTGACCTACCCAAACTGTGATTTTTTAAAAAATCAGGATACAGAGAAGAACACTGCCTCTGCCAAAGAAATTCCAACCACGGACCCTCCAGTGAACAACAAGAATGAGTGTGTTCTGTTGCAACCTCTCTCTCTATAAAAATGTCTGAGATTACTGATATGGGGATCTGAGGCAAGACTAGGGGATTTAAATATGCGAAATGATTGCGTGGGCCGAAAACACCACAGATCATACAGACTGGACCCAAACTATCCTTCGGCCACCACTTTCTCAGCAGTTCTTAAGCAAAGAGTAAATGAAGGCTGCTCTCAGAGCTCACTGTCTACCTTTCTAGTTGTTGTTTATGTATGAATAGCAAGTTGTAATTAGTTGCTATGAAAATATACCATGTCATTAATCTCAGTCTTAATTCCTATTTTAGTTTTTCAACTGAAGTCCACAGAAAGACCATGTATTCCTCACATTTGTATAAACATTCAAAAAATACAATCACTTCTTTGAAAATCTCTGCAAATAAAAGTAGTTGATAATCACAGGAGAAAACTTTTTTGAAATATTTTGAAACACCCCCCTCTACACGTTGACCTCTTATGTTAATGGGAGAAAGGGAAAGTAAGGCACCATTTAGTCTCAGGGTATTTTTAAAGAGAGCTACAGTAAAGTGGAGGCAATTATAAAATTAGTAAATATTAATAGCTTCTTAAGCAAATGATGGCATTCTAGATTTTCTATAAAGTAGTAACTTTTTAAAACCAGCAATAATCAAATATTTAGAATCACTACATAAACATGTAAATGACCACTGACTTATGCTGAATATTCAGGGCTTTAAATTATCCAAATCATCAGATTTGACGTGATCATCTATACTGATTCATATATATAGACTAGCTTTCAATAAAAAAAACAAAATTTTTGTTTATTCACAGTTTACGGAATAAAAATAAATGTAGAGCCTACCACTATGCTTTCCAGCCTACTGCTCACAAGACAGGTACCTCAGGAGGTAGGCAGATACTCAGGTCAACAAACACACCTGAACACACAAACAAGAGAAAACTCAAGAGTTTTTTTAGAAAAAATTTTGAGCACCAAAAATGAGGGCCCTTTGCTGATCTTGACTTTGAGAGAATATACAGCTAGACATAAATCACCACTGTTTAAATATGTAACAGGTCAGGTTGCTTGTAAAATAAATCCTACCGTGTTTAAAAACTATATCAAATAGCAATATTTACTTTATGATAATTTAAAAATTAAACCAATATTAAGTAAAAAATGCAACAAGTGCAAATCAACTGTTCTCTTTTATGAAAAAGATCTGAAATCAGAGAACATTATTCTTTTTATTCAATATTAATTGTATTTAAATCCAAGCACAACATTAAAAAATTACTTAGTTATCTAATTTATAGTTATATGTTTGCTGCTTGGGAATATGACAGTTCATCTCATAAAAGAATAAAATACTGCAGTTAATTCTATGGGAAAAGTCTTACAAATGCATTACAAATTGTAATTAATTTTTTAATGTTTAAGATTTATTGTATTAATGAAATGACAAAATATTATCATCAGTAGTTTACATGAAAAATGTCTCCTTTTATTTTAGTATATACTTTCTCCAAAACAACAAAGGTTGGTGTCTCACATGCTACACTTATCTACTTTTGTTACTGCAAATCCAAGATCTCCCCACATGTACTAATCTCTTATGGCAGAGGTCACTGAAGTTGTGCCAAAATTCAATAATTACATTCTATTTAATGGAGCACTACGTTTATCTCATTGCTGGAATTTAGACCATTTAGAACAAAGCATTTCATTTAAATGATGAAACGCTCATCAAAAATGCCGTGTGGTACACATTTCTCACATTTTAAAAATTGTGGATAAAATACTGCGGCTTTAAAGCTTTCTTTTCAATACAGAATTAAAGTTGATATTTAGTTATTTAATATCTCTTTTAATTGGGTTAAAAAAAGCATTTTATGTGCCTGTTGCATAATTGAAACTAAAACCCTGTCACACTTAAAATGGTAAAAGTCTATAATCTAAATCGACAACTACAAATTAATTTCACTTCTTCTAAAGAGTGAAGTTTCCACATTGTAATGGAATAGGTTGTAATATTTCCAAAAAGATGGAAAAAATTATAAATGAAGCAAATTATCAGGTTGTTCTTCATGAATAGAATAAATTAAACAAAAATATTGAACTATTTTTCTCTTTAAAGTAATTATATTCTGAATATTGTTTCTAAAATGTCAGCTCAATGAAGAAAATGCAATCAGTGTTTGCATTTATGGTGCCAAGGAAAATTAGCTAATAATTCTGCCAAAAAACCTACACTATTGTAATACTCAATTACAATTTGTAGCTATAGCAAAAGAAAGTAAATTTCTTAGCTAGCTTTTTCAGTAAAAAGTATAATTTAAATTTTTCTCAATACTTACTTGTTTCTATCTCAACTTAAAAATACATAAGTAATCGTGTACAGCTAAGTTTCTTCTGAACTCACACACTAACATATTTGTGCACTCTAAAAGTTCTATATTTTATGGCATGTACTTTGCTATGACCTCTAGTTAAGCAAAAACAACCTCCAAAACCTAAAATTTTCACATAAAACATTTCTCATTATATTTTAGAGAAATATTCTGCCAGTTTCAAGTAAGTAAAATAATTGAAAAATCAAAACAGAAGACAATATTATGTGTATGAGAGTTGATTAAAATAAAAATAGAATTCAAAAACAATTTTTTAAGCAAGAATTATGCGGAATAAGACAAGCTATCTTATTTTTCCTGCACCTGTTTGATGACAGTAAATGATAAAATGTTCCCGTTTTTGTCCAAATTTTGAAATATCTATCTTATACATTACTCTTTTTTAAAAAATATCAAAGATTACATTAAATGAGACTTCAATTGTGAACTCACATAGAAGTAGAGAACTTATCTAGGTATATTTCTGTAAATAGCCGATGTGTATTGTCCTTTCCCAATTTGTAACATCTATGTATTTTAATGTTATCTAATGTGATCATTTCAAACTCCATGCCTCAATGCAACTAATAGTAAGGTATATATAGTATCATAATTCAGTCCACTTTAATACCAAAAAAATATTTTATATATACGTAAAGTATATATATACATAAATTGATCTGAAGGAAATCAAGACGCATTTTCTAATGTGAAAATTTACTTAATTTTCACTTTTTTCTATGGCCCAAAGTAGCAACATTTTAAACTGTGTAATAATAAAGGGAAGATAAACAGTGTTAACTATAAGAAAAACACACCAACTAAGACAGCTCTAAATCACGTCTCTTTAAAGGAAAATAAATCAGGTTCTCATCAATATTTGAAAAAGAAATATGATTATTTTAAAGTACAAAATAATGTTTCACACTAGATTACTATAGACTAACATATAACGCAAAATAGTATTTGGGAGAGTGATAACAGAATTTCTTAACAAGAAAGTAGAGCAACCGAGATCCTACTTTTCTGCTTTTAAATATTCTATTTTTAATGACTAAAGATATTGCTGAAAATGGCTATTTAAAATCTGAGGTTGTTAATATCTGATTACTATAGTATTTCATTGCAACTTGTGATTTTAACTCTTAAAATACTGGACTATAAAATAACATGTCAGCTTACGTGACAAAATTCAGTTATGGTATAATAAAAATTAACAGTTCCAAAAATTGGGTGGAAGCGCCTTTTAGCTTCAGAATTTCTTTCATGGAAAATCATCTTTTTTCTTGCAAAACAGCAATTAAATATAATAATTTAAAGTTATTCAGCCATGTTTATACACCAAACATTTCTATTAAAACATTGTTATTAAAACAATATCAAGGTGTTAACAAATTTTCAAAATTATATAATAAATGCTAACATTTTTTAGAATCCCAAACACCATGATATTTAAAATACACAAAAATCCCACTTAAAAAATGTTAAGCTTAATTGTGCGCACAATGAAACTTCTAGAAAACTTCATTACTTACTGTTCACTGAGTATTACTTACAGAGATTAACAGTTTTAAGAATTCATCTGTTATTTATCCTGAAGTGTTTTGAATAACCCTTTCGTACTGTATACGTCTCAATGAGATGACCACCCTACTCTGGTCTGCTGAGAAAAACAAAAAAATCGGTAAATCTTCTTTAAGGTTGTTCTTGTTCTAACGTCTTTTAGGTGGCCACAAGCAGGAATTCATAATGATAAAAGCAACAATATGAGGAAAAAATTTTTTAAATGCTTGTTTCATATTTACTGTATAAAGTCATTTTGACATGCCTACACAACTGGTCGTGGCAGCTTTCAGACACGATTCCTAATCAAAAAAAAAAAAATTGCTCCAGGTTCTTTAGAGAAAGCTTGCCGCTGGGAAGTTGATTTTGGCCAAGTGCCAAAATCATGTGCAAAGGGGCCTCATTAGGGATTCATGGCAGCCTTCAGCACTAACAAAAAATGTGACCCAACAGGCTAAATCAGAGACTAAAATTAAAAAGTAAGAGACAAAGACAACTTACTTAATATTCCTTCCAAGGCAACATTAAACTTTTTTTGGTAATTAAACCCTTGTTAGTCTAATGCAGTGTTCCTCTGTCCTCAAATGATTGTACAATTACTCTTTAAAACTTGTCAATTTCCCTTCTAAATACACTTTCTTTCTGTGGCAGTTTACAAAGATTTTGCTATATAATAAAACTCTATATCCACTATAATCAGTTCAATAGCAGAAAACAAAATCGGAAAAATGCAGACTGCAGTATTCCCTTAAGATTTAACCAAACAAACAAGAAATAAGCAAACAATCCTCAGCACCTTTCAAACTTCTACAAAAGTGAACACGCACACTTCCACACTCACGTTGACTGTGACGAATCATTCTCGCTGCCCAACTTTTCCCCCAAAAAGTAGATCTGATCCGTAGCCTTACCTAGATGTCTCCTGGCTTTTCTGCAGATCAAAAAGTTTCCTGCCCAGGCACACAGATATTCTTTCACAAACCATAAAGGCCCTTTTATGAATCCAGCACTGTAACAGGCTGCTCTCTACACAACGTTAAGAGCCGAGTACGTCAGCTCTCAAGATAAAATACGTTGCTAATACACAATTAGTGGGAGAGGTTGTCTACTGGAGAATTTATCTTAACGAAAGAAGGAAAAAGAAGCTTGCTTTTTTTTTTTTTTTTTTTTTGGAAAAAGCAGAGAGGGTGCGGTCAGATGTTAGGTTTTGCCTGAGAGAAGGGCCTTCCACTGCACTAGTACCTAAATACTAGCAGAAGCTGCCTGGGAAGAGAGCCAATGGAAGGACTTTGTTTGACCCAGCTGCCAATCTCCCCTGAAGCCGTGCGCCAGACTAAACACTCACACTATTTTAACTCAAATCAGGCTACAGCAGCTGTTTGCTTTCCGGCTCTGAGCTCTGCACCCACGATGGCCTGTGCAGTTTACCCGGCGAGCTCTGCTAGCTGCCTGGCTGAAATCTGTTCCGGGTTGGGATCTGTCATTGCAGAGCACATTTTAACCCTATTCCTCGTGGTAACTATGGACTGTTTGTCGTTCGGCATCGGGTATTACGCGATAATTTCATGATCTTTTTAGAGAAGACCATTTTATATCATGGAGAAGAATTTGAGATTTGAAGGTAACGAGAATTTGTACATTTCTTTCAAATTCTAACCTAAACTCTTCTGACGTGTTAAAATTAACACTAAAATTACACTTGTGTGTATCAGTAACAAGGCCCCTACCATGCACCCTAAGAACAAAGGTGGTACCTATTCCCCCCAACCCAAACTTCTTCGACCCTAGCAAGATGGAAAGTTGGCATCATAGGACCGGAAAGACTCACGTCATTCTAAGAGTTAGTACTGACTGCTTAATGCTCCAGAGAATTCCTCCTAAGCACACAAGTAATTTGTTTTCCTTATATGAAAAGTACGAAGTGGCCCAATTTACCTTTGCTAAATTTCTAAGCTTATTTAGCTCTTAGGTTGAGTGTAAAAATTATATCCTGAATTGTAAAACATTAAAATTTGCCCATTGGTAGTCTAAATTGAAAAGGAAACTAAAGAGAAGTTAGTCAGGGAAAGTACAATTTAAGTAATAATGAAAATTATCTGATGTAGCAGGGAAAAGAGATCCAATAACTAAGATCTTCTTACACACTAGACAGGAGCCAAACATTGCATACGTGGAGAAAATGAATCGGTAAGTCATTCAACATGTGGAAGAGAGAGAGAAATCGAGAGAAGTGTGATAATGTGCACTATAACCAAGTGATTCCTACTCCTGACCAAATGCCTAATTATGGACGATGGTGAGAGAGGACAGCGTTTTTTCATTTGTGGATTTTAGTTTCTGTTGTCACATTAAGGTAGAAATATGTCTCTTCATTTAGGGCAAATAGCCAGTAAGACTTCTATTTTTTAACATAACTAATTTGGTTCATACTGTAGTCAGAAGATAAGAAAAAAGAAATGTTTTTGAAATACTGTAAAAGTATGTCCAGGAATTTTTTCAGAAAGTTGTTTCTTCTCCTTTAAACAGAGAGTTTACTTTGTTTCTATTCCTGCCCCCAAATGATATGTCTGTTTTCTTATCTTAGAAACTAGAGGTCTAAATTACAAAAATTGTAATTTTATAATAAAATGTTATTTCCTCAGATAGGAAGTGGCAAAGATGGTTATAGAGAGGTTGAACTAGTGGTGAAGATGGCGGGATGTTGAACTATTAGGTTTTATGGGTGCACATAAACTGAAAGACCCAATTCATTAAAAATGCATGTCAAGATAATACTGTAGAACACATGATCCTTATTCTGAAAGTAATACATGTATAATCCCAAAAGAGTTTTCATTGGATCTGGCTTCCTACATAGCAGAGTATAGTTTGATGCTCAAAAATCTTATAGAATCAAACAAAATGTTGGGAAAAATGTGTTTTTTTGTGTGTCCTTTTCTACCAATCCAAGAAAACGGTCAACACGTTTCTCTGAATGGTCTATTACAACTACCAAGTAAATTATCACCCACCATCACATGACATGTACTTCTGCAGTAGCTGTAAAATGGTGGTCCTATAGTAGCATTTGTTCATCTCAGTAATTACTTCTCTTACACTGCATTCTGCATTCCTATCTTCTCCTTAGACATCTGTGTGCAAAGCAGTTAGTTCACATCATGAGTGTTATGAGCTGAATTGTGTTCCCCTCCCCCGCAATTGATATGTTGAAGTCCTAACCCCCAGTACCTCAGAATGTGACTGTATTTTGAGATAGGAACTTGAAAGAGACAATTTAGTTAAATTAGGTCATTAGGGTGGACCATAATCCAATATGACTAGTATCCTTACAAGAAGAGATTAGGACACAGGCACACACCAAGGGAAGATCATGTGAAGACACAGAGAGAAGAAGGCCATCTGCTGCCAAGGAGAGAGGATCAGGAGAAATCAACCCTGCCCACACCTTGATCTTGGACTTCTAGCTGCCAGAATTATGAGAAAATAAATCTCTGTTGTTTAAGCCATCCAGTCTATGCTATTTGTTATGGCAGCCTGAGCAGACTAATACAAGTCTTAGTAAAAAGGAGTGAAAAATTATCTTATTATTAGAATATAACTTGTTTCTATACTCAGGTGTCTGTTTGATTTTGTCCAAGAGAGCATGTAATTTATGAAGGAAGTGTACGTTATTCACATTTTCCAGAAAAGAGGAAGAACTACACGTATGCCCGAGTTTTATATAAAAGCCATACATGGTGTTAAGAATGAAGGAAAATATAACACAGTTGCTACTCTTCCATGACACTTCTCATTTGCATATTTTGAACAGGAATGCTGTGCTGAAGTCATTGTTTGGTACCTAACAAAACAGTATGTGCACAATTAATATGCACAGACTTTGAAAAGAATTATGGAAGAAATAGGTACCTAGCTTTCCCTTTAGGACAATAAAAAAATAGTATGTGAACTTTTGCTTTTTCAAGAAAGTTTTGATGCATGGAGAATTTCCAGTCAAGGTCTGGTACTACATAAAAATTTCATATCAGGAGTTATAAACAAAAAAGGTTAGTCTTTGTAAGGGGAAAGTTCCAATACTTCTACAAAGGGAAGAGACTCTAAAGGAAGAAGGAAAAGAAATGTGGATGCCTTGCAAGAAAGTCTGGATAAAGATAAATGAAGTGAGACTGAAGATAGTCAAAGATGAAACAAGTCAAAGATTAATCAGAATATCACCAAGGGAAACCATATTAGCCCAGAAAGTTGAGGGATGGACACTCCACTTACATGAAGTTGGAAGCAGCAAGATAATGATGAGAAATGGATTAGAGCAGGAAGACTTTTGCTGTTGTGGCAGGCAGAATTCAAAGATGGCCTCCAAGATTCCCACCCCTGGTGTACACTTGGGTATACTACAACCCCTAGAGGTTGGACGGAACCTGTGAATATGATGAGATAGTTGCTCTGCTGATTAGGTTATCAACCTATATGTAAAAATCAATGAGATCTCCATGTAAAGTTAGTAGAGGGAGAAAGAAGAAGCCAATAGAAGCCGAACCAGAAGCCTTCTGGTTAGGATACACCTAACCAGAAGAGGTAAGGAAAAGGTGATTGAAATTACCACTGCAATAGGATATTGTTGTACCTAGCAACAGTTCCCACCAGCTGACATGTGGATGTGAGCATTCATCCATCTTTCAATTCACCCATCCTCTCAAAAATTCTACTTGATGCTGACTCCATGTGGGGCACTGGGCTCAGTCTGTGTGGGATAAAAAACACAGGCTCTGATCTCATGTTTCAGATAGTCTATTAAGCAAACTGAAAGCCAAACAGCCAATTCTAAAGAGAATGACACTGTTTGTTGAGTGCTTCAGAATGCTGAGTTGGTAATGTTCAGTGGTTTTATAAATGTGATAGAGGGTTATGACAATATTGATAATTATTACATGTTCAAGTACTTACAATAAACAAGTTACTGTGAAAGACACTTTTGTGAAAAATGACATATTTTATGTCACCCTACAGCTTCATGATGTCATTGTCTTAAAGTACCAACATATATCATTGCTTGTGTGAAATTACGGTTGTTAGTTTCTCTTATCTTTTTTTTGTAAACATTTTCCTTATTATTTCCCATGCTAGTTGAGACCAAAAAGACCATATATCTCTTGAAATGCTGACATTTAAAAATAAAATCCAGGGGCTGGCCCTGTGGCATAGTGGTTGGGTTTGGTGCACTCCACTTGGGCAGCCCAGGTTTGCAGGTTCAGATTCTGGGTGCATATCTACACCACTCGTCAGCCATGCTGTGGTGGTGACCCACATACAAAATAGAGGAAGACTGTCATAGATGTTAGCTCGGGGCTAATCTTCGTTAAGCAAAACAAAAAAGAGGAAGATTGGCAACAGATGTTAGCTCAGGGCGAATCTTCCTCACCACACAAAAAATAAATAAATAAATAAAATCCAAGGCATAATCATTGTGCACAAAAGCCCATTATCACGCCCAAGTAAATTGCAAACGACACTACATTGGCTTTCACTTTAAGCAAGACAGACTAATAAAGTACTTTGAAAACCTGTTTCCTAATAAGAATATCCATAAAACAATGAGAAACAATTTCAAATAAATGTTAAATGAAAATTGAATGTGATCATGGAACAACTCAAAGTATTATAAGGAAAATGATCTTAAATGACTAAATATTTTCCATGAATATTATATGCAAAGATTTAAAATAAAACCTAATACAGCATAAAATTGTCAAAACAGAAAAAATGTTTTTTAACTTCTTAACTGGGGTAGCAAATAGAGGTGCACACAGGCATATAGCAAACATATAAACAAACAAACAAAAATACAGTGCATTTAAGAAATGGAAATATGATAACCCATTCTTACTGATCTGATTAAAATTTCAAAAATGACTTCACATTCCCGCTGTGGTTTTTTTTTTTTAAACCACTCCCTGCTTCACTCCATTTTCTAAATCTATAAATCTGCTTTTTTGAGGGAATCTCTGTAGATATTTTTATATTTTATCATGTATATTCTATAGTTTCAGAAGGATTAAGAACAATCTAAATACTCAAGGAGACAGAGATAACATAAATAGCCCTATATCTATAAATAAATTGAATTAATCATCTTTCCCCAAAGAAATCACCAGAGTCAAATGGTTTCACAGGTCATTTTTACGAAACATTTAAGGAAGGAATGATTTCAGTTCTCCACAATCTCTTCCAAAAAATAAAAGCAGAGAATGCTACCTAACTCATTCAATGAGGTCATCATTACTCTAATGCCAAAACTAGATACAAGAGAGGAAAATTACAGACCTGCATTTCTCACGAACATGGACACAAAAAGCCTCAATAAAATATTAACAAGTCAAATTCAACAACATATAAAAATAATTATACACTATGACCAAGTGGTATTTATTCCATGCATGCAAGGCTGGTTCAACATTTGAAAAATCAATGTAATCCACCATACCAACAGAATAAAGAAGGAAAATCATATGATCACATTAATT